TAATGGGGTTGCAGAGATTTAATGAGGCAGGTCTTAATCCATACAGTCAGGGTCCAAATAACAATCCCAGTCAGAGTCTTGATTTCCACCAAAAACACTCTTCACACACAAAAAAAGAAGGCTCCTTGTAATGTGACACAGCTCAAAAAAAATGTAAGGAGAATCTGAAGGGTCTTTTATAAATTATGTAAATGGCTACAAGTTCTGAAGTATTTTCTGAGAAAAGGCAACACTGCCTTCACTTCTGAAGTATATAGATTAGATGACTGTGTACAAGAAGAACAAGATGCAGGGAAGCAGAGGGAATAGGAGACAATGGAGAAGAGGACTAGGAGAGTTCTTCTCACTGAAATCAGTTAAGCTACAGTTTCCTTGGATGGGTAAAGTTGAGTACGCAGGTGAACAAAGAGAAACAGGAACTGTTTAAACCCAAAGAGAAGTGGATATTGTTAAGTTACCATGAATATGTTAAGCTCAGAAAGTCTAAAGCTTCATACCGGCACTGTTCCAGAGCTGCCTTTAATACAGCAGATGAAGCAAACACAGTGAAGCCCACAGCCAGGTTCAGAGGTGCCCCATGATTGCAGGACACTGGACTGGCTGCTCCCCAGGACAGTGCCAGCAGCGTTTCAGCATCAGAGGGGCTTCTCCACAGCCAAATGCTGCATTAGGTAGGGACACACCAGCAAATCAGGCAGAGTACTGGAAACCACGCTGTGCCATCCGAGGCAGCAGACATCTGACACTGCCTTTCCAACCCCTCCACCCTTAAGACAAGGATTCTGCCAGATACAGGTTGAGAGCCAGCCCGATTAATGAGGAACACTTCACACTCAAGAGCTACACAGCTCAGATCTCCTTCTAGAGCAGCTGAGTAAGTTGCCCACTTTCAGAGCTATTGACTGTTCCTGACACTGTACAACAGGTAGAGTATCTTCTGATTTTATAAAGCCCTAAGCACCCTTCACATCCAACAGCCTACACGACAGCTGAACTGTGTAAGCAGCTCACCCTCAGCAACAGCCTGAAGCAAACCTAGCTGACTGAACAGGAACCAGCCTAAGGGCTTACACGCTCTTGCAGAGCAGTTTTGGATATTTTTTGGGTGGAAGGGGTGTACACGAAAAATAGGACAGACAAATCAAACACACCAACAAGTAATATCTTTTTTAGTTACCTTCAAAAACCCTGCAAGAGTAGCAAGGTCCAGATTATTTGTTTGTCCCGCCACCCCAGAAATCACTACCACAAGTAAAGAGCCTCTAAATCCAAAGTCAATGCTGAAGTGAGTCAAGCTGGAGCTTACTGAGCTGCAGGGAGTAGGTAGCACTTGGCCTAAACTGTTTTCCTGATGAGCTTGGATGCAGCATGGGCAGTACATGGGGGTCTAACAGCTGGAGGGCTTCTATGGACTTGTGCATTGAAACACAGGTACAGAGGCAGCTGTCACTGCTGCATCTGGGCAGCCTTGGAAGGTACCACAGTGACACCTGCCCTGCATGTCAGAACAGGTTCATCTTTGCATGGTTTAATGAATGCTGAGACATCTTCCCATTCTCTATCCCATGTGCCTTGCTCCACAGTCACCAACTCCAGCTCTCTCAGCTGAGTTTCTGCTGACCAGGCATGGTGGTGGCACACAAGAACACCACACCTTGAGTCTGCATTGACAGCTACAGACACATCCTCAGCAACAGCCACAGGCAACGGTGCTGTAAGCTGCTCAGGCTGAACTGGCCTGTGACCCAGGCTGTGACAGGCGAGGCATCGCTCCTGGCAGCAGGCTACTTCTGTACTAACCACAGGTTTAGGACTGGCACGCAAGGATGACATGATCTTCAAGGTTATCATATGAAGTGCACTAATCTACCTTCTGCTTAGCCTCGGTGCATCCCTGGATCACATCCTGTATGGAACAGTGACAGGAGCTGCTTGAGGAACAGCTGCTGTTGTGCTGTCCATCAGGTTTCAACTAACTGCAAGGATCTTGCAGAAGAGGGAATAGGGCAGGTACCTGCCACATGCTGCCATGCTTGAGGAGTGCAGCCATCTTTGCCCATACCTGCCATGGCAGATGTTACAGCAAAAGATCTAGTCCAAAAGGAACATGGTTTCTTTTAAAGAAGCCACCTTTGAAAATGTGTTGGGAGGCTTATACAGTGGTCCTGAGCAGGCAAGCTCTTTTCAGACCCCAGAGGCCCTACAGAGAAAGCTGCAGTGTTTAGCTTGCTAGAGACACCCAAATTCTGGGCACAGGAACAAAATCTATAATTTAGTCTCCCAGACAAATAAGCCTTATCTTCTGCTGTGCCCTGTCCCCATATCCTATAATCCCTTTACAGAATTTCTCTGACTAGGAAGGGCAAGTAGAACCAGTATCACCACAAGAGTGAAGGTATGAAGGTATTCGTTACCGAGTTAATCTCTCCAGAGTCCACTAGAGAGGAGGATAAGCTCATCTAGAGACACAAAGCTCCTCATGTTTGCCAGTGCAATTTGATTTTTAAAACAGTTTTTGCATCCAAGCCAGGTAAGTATCAGAATATACTGATGCAATTAACCGCAGGCAGTTTGGCACAGATGGTCCCCAAGAAACAGAGCTAGCTGAACAGCAGGGGTTTATATTTAATGATGAGCCAGGCCCTCAGCGAGGCAAGTCAGCAAGACCCCGCTGAAGGCAGCGGGGAACAGTCGAGCTCACTCATCTCCTCACACTTCTTCCACCCACAAGCAAGGCACAGCCACCCCACAAAGGGCCAAGACCCCTCACCAGGGACCCAAGCATACATCTGCAACAGCAGTGATGGCTGACCCTGCATCCCCCAAGAGCTTGAGCACCCTGGTCTGGAGCTCAGGGTAGCTTTATCGGTAAGCACTCCCAAACTTCTTGTTTTGCACTAGGAACTGCAGTTTTGGGGAAACAGAACCCAAACTTCCAAATGCCACTCCACCACAAGGATATGGTACCCCCTAACTGCCATTACATAAAGATCTTAGAAAGCAGAGTCACAGCTCAGAAGCTTCCTTTGTGCTGAACTGGGGCAGCATCACCCCCAGGCAGAAAGCCCATCCCCAAGAGGTATTTGTCCCATTTTACAAGCTGTGGATTGGTGATCCCTAGCACCAGGAAGAAGTCGGCCTCACTGCACTAAAGTCTAGGTTGATCAGAAGAGATTTAGATCACAAACACTGTGACAGTTGTCAAAACCTGCAGAGTGCACCATGTCCTTGGACAACAGGCACCTGCAGAGCCATACCCCAGAGCCAAGAAACCCACAGCCTTCTAGTTGGGTCATCACTGATTTAGCAAAGCTGGTCCTAGCTACACAGCCCACATTTGCCCTTAGAGCTCAGAGCACATTCAAGAGCAGAGAAAACAGGCTTGTAGATGCATAAGACAGCTCAGTAAGAACCCAAGAAAGTTGCAGCAGTCCTATGTCAGAGCAGAAAGATGTTTTTTTAAATGCCTACACAGAAAGTCTCATTAAATAAGTAGAGACCAATGCTCAGCTGAAACAGAAATCCCTCTTATCTCCCTGTGCAGAAAACCAGGCTTCTAAAGGAGATCCCGGAGGGCTCAGAAACCATTTAGCCTTAGATCACACTGCTCTTGCAAAGCAGAGACCTTATTTCCCAGCCTGAGACACCGCGTTTTCCCCCCACACGCATGCCCTTCTTCCCCTCTGCCACTCTCCCAACAGCAGCACCACATCCTTGTGCCGCCAGACACACGCAGGATTCATCCCGGGAAGGGGCGAGGGCTGCAGCTGGGGGCCCAGAGAGCTCACGGCAGGCTTCGAGGCAAGCAGCAAGCCTGATACAGAGCAGGGCCTGCAGTGGGGAGGGCTCCCAGCTCCTGCTGCCCTCTAAACTTAGCAGAAGCAAGTTATTGCTTCACACAGAGAAAGATGCTGGTTAGCTGTTGTCTGTGGCACCCCACCTCTAATCAGAGGAGAAATACCATCTGGCATGCCACCCCTGGAGGGCTGCCAACCTGTGCAGTGAAATAGGAAGGCAAGAGAAGGTCAAGACAAAGGGAGGGGAGCAACACAGGCAGAAAGATTAATCCCTTCCAGGTGGTGTCAGTCCAGACACTGGAGTACAAGACTGGATGGATGAGCAAGCAGAGAAGAGTTTAAGGAGGAGAAAGAGCAAGAAGCAGCAAAACAATTCTCTGCAGGGAAATCACAGACGAGCTGAAGAGATAACACATCTGAGCTGCAGACCAACTCCAGAGCAGGATCCACTTCACCTAAGCCTCTCCTGGTGGATGTTGGCTCAGGCAGAATTTGCATCACTGGGTTTCAACTCTTTGAAGACAGTCAGGGAGCAGAGGCTCCAAGACTGGCAGTGGGCAAAAGCAGTTAAAGAGAAGGGAGCCCAGGGGCTGAGGCAAGGCTGGAGGAGCCAGTGATGGGACAGCAGCTTAGCAGGCAGCTTTGAGTTAGAAGAGCATCTCAGAGGGGATGCACTCTTCACTTCTCCCAGCAGTGTCACGTAGGGACTGTAGATGGGGCATCATTTGTTCTGGCAAGGTTTCAGCCAGCTAGACACAGAGGTAGCCATCTCATGCTGAACATCCCCCTGCACTGCACGTGGTGAGGATATCAGCAGCAGGGTGGCAAGGGCTCTCCAGCTGCCTGAACACATTCCCACGAGTGTTACCTGGTACAGAGGCTCTGTAACGGATGCACACACCAGCAGTTACAGGTGTGCAGGGCCACACTCCACCACAACAGCAATACCACTGCTGGTCCCTCTCCAAGGGAAAAATCCCATCCCACCCACCACAGCCGCTTGAATTTCAGGCATCCTCTGTGACACTGTCCACTGCTTGCTTCCTGTACCTCCTGGAAGGAGACAGGTTGTTCAACAACTTTATTACAATAACATACACACATAGCTGCGTGCCAAACAGACAAACTGGGGAGCTCAGGGTCAAGGCAAGCGTGCCACTCTGCAGGAAGCTTCCCGCCTCTCAGCCTTGGGATGAGCGGTACCTTCCGACTCCAGGCGCTCCAGCCCATAGGTCACAGCCGTACTGATCCTCCTCACCGACGGAAGAGCTGTCCTCCTGACAGAAGAGGCCACTGATGCTGGAGTTACCAGGACCACAGTTCCGCTGGATGGCTCCTCTGTCTGTCCAGACTGGGTAGCAGCAGACAACCCACCAGGAGCTGGCACAGCCTTCTCACTGGTGACCAGGACCACCTCTGTGAGGTCTACAGAAGACAGGAAGAAGCAGCAGCAGTTCGGCACAACAGTATTTAAAAACCCACTATTTAAGAACATACTCCTTGATGAAAGCTTAACTCAGAATGGGAGAAGTTATTAAACTCTCGCATCTTTCAAGATGGGAAAGCGACTCTGCTGTAATGAAAGCTTCTCCCCTGGGACAACCATCACGGGAGGTTTCCCTTAATGAGAGCTCGGCTAGGTTTTACTCCCATTGCTTTGAGGACTGCTAGTCACCACCCCACAGCAAGATCAGAGCACCAAGACACTGGTTGAGATCTGAACTAAGTGACAGATCTCATTGTTTATTGCAAAGACAAAAATTAGTTGAATTTATAATTAAATCCCAGAAGTAAATTAGTGCAAACTTCTGGAAGAGCCTTCTCTCCCCTAGAGAGGGACCTTAATTTAAGGGATACAATGCCAATAGGTTTTTCTTTTGATGCCCTGCAATGTAATAATTACCAGAAAAGCTGCCTAGCAGCAGTTTCATTACAGCAGTACCTACCAATACAGAAATACACAAACCCAAAGCCAACTTTGAGCTAACGGAACCCTTGGTACACTCCTGTCAGGACAACAGGCTCCTACATGTACCTGCCAAGGCAACATCACACCAGTAGTCAGCAGCTGGATGAATTTGATTGCTTAAAGCATTTCTGTACGAGCTACACCAACCCAAGCAGGAAGAACTCACCATTCCTCAATGGAAGTGAACATTGACGCAGGCTTGCACACCCAAGGGATTGCCAGACTCCTCCAAGAGGGTCACACACACCACGCAATCCGCCCCACCTTCCACTGCTCCTATGCTTCCCCAGTGAATCTTTTTGGTCCTTCACACTGAGCATCAGCAGCCTGTGACTGCCTTTGGCTCTGGTCAGAGCTCTCTCTCCATAAACAGAAGCTGGCTTAAATGTCTAAGGCTGGAAGTCAGCTTCCTAGCAGGGATGGATGTGGGGGTTTTGTTTGTTTTGAGGTGGTTTGGGCTTTTATCTCTACCCCACTGTTATTTGGGGAAAAAAAACATATCATAAAATCATAGATTAGTTTGGGTTGGAAGGGACCTTTCAAGGTCATCTAGTCCAACCCCCCTGCAGTGAGCAGGGACATCTTCAACTAGACCAGGCTGATCAGAGCCCTGTCCAACCTGACCTTGACTGTTTCCAGGGATGGGGCATTGACCACCTCTCTTGGGCAACTTGTGCCAGTGTTTCACCACCCTTACTGTAATAAAAAAAAAAAAATCCTCTTTCCTTATATCCAGTCTAAATCTAACCTCTCATTTTAAAACCATCACCCCTTGTCCTATCACAACAGGCCCTGCTAAAAAGTCTGTCCCATATTTCTTATAAGCCCCATTAAGTACTGAGAGGCCACAATAAGGTCTCCCTGGAGCCTTCTCTTCTCCAGCCTGAAGAACCCCAACTCTCTCAGCCTTTCCTCACAGCAGAGATGCTCCAGCCCTCTGACCATTTTTATATGCTGGCATATTTCAACACAGCGGATCTGGTAGCACAGGCAGAAAGCAGTGGCAGCCCAGGGCTAGAGGCAGCCTGCAGAAGGCTACAAGAAGTCGCTTAGAATATAGATGCTGTGTTGAGACTGAGCATCCAAGCATTGATATTGGTTTCAGATGCACCCTCTCATCTTGTGTGGAAATGAACCCGCAGTCTCTGAAGCGGAACCCTACCTTCTACATCTGGAGTGTTCACCGTCAGGGAAGTACCAGTTGCCACCAGCATCTGGGTGGCACTAGGAGCAGTCGGCATCTGGGTGTCCTCCCCACTGTTCTCCGGGGGAAAGCTTGCAGCTCCTGTTTCCTGGGTAGCACCAGGCACCAGTGTCACAACTGACAGAGCAGCATCAGCCTCCTGGGCAACAGTTGTCACCTCCTGAGTAGCACCTACAGCAAGAACACGTGTCAGTACCAACACACAGGGCAGCTGACAGCAACAGAGCAGATGTTTGAAGGAATATAACACCATGCATTCGCATTTCCAGAGCCACACTGCAAGCAGCAGGTCCAGCCAGGTATCACCAGGGCAGGGCAGCATAAAGACAGATGTGAGACTGCACAACAAGAACAAAAGCAGAATCAGTCCTCATCTTCTTAATTGTCCCTTAAGGACAAGTGGACCCACAGGGGAGCAGTGCCCTGGGAGCACAGCACTGCAGGCCCACGGTGTGAAACACCACTCAAAGCCAGCGATGCTGCCAGAGCGGTGCTTTCAGCGACCGGCTCGCACCGCTACAAGACTTCAGCTTTGTAGCAGGGTTTGTATTTGTTGCACAAGTCTTATTGATAGCGTTGTTTCCCCAACATCTGGGAAACAGCAGAGAGGGAACCTGCTGACAAGTCAAGTGCTTATAAATTAATCTGGAAATTAATCAGCCAGGTTTCAGCATGAGCATGCAATTAGCTTTCCTTCTCTTCCAGCAAAAGCTAGATCTTTTGGATGCAGTCATGGGAAGTTGTCCTTTTGCCTCCATAGCCTAAGAGGGGAGATTAGAGATGCCCAGAAATTAAAACAAAGTCCTAAATCCCAGCTCATGTTCCTCACTAGCCTAGGAACATGTCATTGCCTAACACCCAACCAGAACTCCTTCCATCACTTTTCTACCAGTTTTAACTACTGAGTGGGAACATTGTCAGTGGGCTGAAGGTGCCATCATCTCCGCAGGCGAGTACAGTGCGGGGTGACACCATCAGCCTGTGTCAGGCTGTCTAGGACGAAGATTTCTGCCTGCTGGTAACAGAGCTGGCACAAACACTGGACAGCCAGAGCCTGGCCACAGCTTTACTCTTGGGTGGGGAGAGAACACCAGGAGCTTTTGTTAGAGGACAACGCAGAGCTCTGGACAGATCTTTTGATCTGAGCATCCCTGTAAAGTCATGGAAGATGCCAGTTACTCACAGGCTGCCAGGACAGCTCACCTGTTCCTGGATTTACAGCCACCCATTGTCTCTGCACCAACTGCAAGTGTCCAAAACCAAGTGATCCCAGATGACAATTAATTTAACCCCCCTGGGAATTACTGCCCCCCTCTGCTTTGCAGGGCTTCAGAGTGAGCTAGTGCCAGGACCACCTCTGGGTCCTTGCACTTGCTACACCAAAGGGTCACTTGGTCAGAGGCTGGGCTCCCTCCCCCGACACAGGAGAGCCATACCAGAGGGCTATTCAAAAGCAGATTCACATCTCCAGTTGCAGCGAGATGCCAACAACCACACTACAGCTGTCCCTCTCAACTGCTATGTGAGCACCAAAACCAAAGGCCCTGCTTCGGCAGCACACCAGACACGCAGAACTTCACAAAGTCAGTAAGTTCTTTTAACTAGCACCAAGTGTCTGCTGATAAAACTCCGGTTCTCTACAGAGACTTCCACCCTCAGCTACATCCCTTCAACTCCAGGCTCCGCCGCCACAGCCTTTTCCATCTCCATTCGCTACTACAGCCACCCTCTCAGCTGGAGGAGCAGAAGAGGCAGCTCACAGTTGCTTCACACAACATACAGGACAGGGTACCACCCAACAGACTGTGCCCACCCCTTCGCAGGGACATCGTGTACAGGAATGGCCAAGGCTAGGCAGAACTTCATGGATGCTAACTACCTGCTTCGGCAGTTATCCCTCCATAGCCTTTCCTGGGGGGGGAAGGTGTCTTACCTCTATTGCAGGTCTCAAGATCACACCTTTCTCTACTTAATCTCCCTGAAAGGAAGCACAGATTCCCAAGAGCGTCCCTCCCAAACCTACACTTAGAGGCAAGTGTCTGTAACAGGCAAGCTTTACCTTCCCATGAGCTTTCCAGAGTAGGAGAGAGTTCAGACTCTTCATCTGTCACCACAGCAGCCTCCGGCTGCGAGGGAAGGATACTTTTCTCCTCCTCTGTTGTGGTTGCATTTACGTCTTCCAGTGAGCTGAGATCAGCCATGTCTACACCTGTCAGGTTCACAGGGTGGAGAGCATCACTGCTGCTGGTGGAAGCTGCCGGCATCACCTCCCCTTGCACCAGTGCTGTGCAGTTGGTCTCCTCAGCAAGCCCAGGAGTTGGCGGAGGGGACACGGGGGATGGCAGTACTCTTGTTGCATCCTCTTCCTCCTCCATGCCTCCCTGCAGGGTCTGGGATGGTTCTGTTGCCCCCAGGTTCTCTGTCGCCTCCTCATGAGACATGCTTCCCCCTTGACTTATGCCCCCTGGTTTTGTGTCATCCCAGTCAGGTGGCACAGTGTCCAGAGGGCGGATGGTGACAGTGCCAGCTGTGGCAGGCAGCTCTCCTCTCCCAACACTCATCCCTGCTTCCAGGGAAGCCTCAGTTGCCGTGAGGGGATGCTCTGCAGCCATGGACGCTCGCACAACCAGGGCCTTCAGCAGGCTCCCTGTGCTGGCCCTCAGCATGCCCACCTCAGAGGTCATGCCCTGAGCCCAGGGAGTTGGGACAGCAGGGTGGTCACTTGCTGTTTCCCAGCCAGGAGAGCTGGGGTACAGAGTGGGCTGGGGGGCTGCCGAAGGGTGTGAGCTGCTCTCTGCCTCCTCCTCCTCAGCTGTCCCAGAAATGGTGTTTGCCAAGAGGCTGGCAGAGCTGTGATCTACTCCAACACCACCCTCTGTGGTGGTCTTGCTAATGGGGCCACTGACAGACTCCTCCTGGACAGTTGGGTTCGGGGTGGTCACAGCTATGGTCAGCATGGCCTTGAATGCATCATCCTCATCCAGCTCAGACTTTGTGGGACCACGCTCCTCCTCGCCTACAGCAGCCACCACTGCAGCAGAGGTGTGAGCACCCAGGCCCGGGCTGCCTGGAACAACATGGCTTACAGACAGCGTTTCTCCTTCTGCAGTGAAAGCTTCATTCAAGGGCATCCCAGATGGCTTTGGTGACACTCCACACGGTTTTTCAGCAACAGGCTGCTCAGAAGGGCCCAGGTCATTTTTCAAGTTCAGCATGCTTGTCCTTTCATCTTCTACCCCATTCCCTGCCCAGGGGCCATGCTGGACCTTTGTCATGTCCCTCTCCTCCAGTGGCTGAGATGCAAGGCATGGTGGACTGAAGGACAAGAGCAGGATGCTGCAGGTGACCACGCAGATGTTAAATCCTATTGATCTATTCATAGCTGAAAATATATGTGCCCAGAAGCCAGCAAGGCTGACAAATCCAGGGTGCAAGACCTAGAAAGGGAAAAAGGAAACCAAAATTACATGTACTTATAACCACCTATTGACCCAGGACCATAAACAACTGGGTGACAAGTTCCAAGCATGCTAGTCTGTAGCCAGTTCCAAGCAGACCCCTCCTACGTGTCCCAAGCAATGAACCCCTCCATTTATTTTACTGTTCCTAACCTATCTCATCTGAAGTCTCATGATGGACAAAACCAAATCTTCATCTGAAGCCCAAGACAAACCTTGCCAAGCTCTCAGCCCAGTGGCAGAGTACTATGCCCTACCCAGCAGGCATTAGGCTTGCAAACATACAATGACGATCAACCTGCTCATCCTCTACCAAGTCCAGGATTGATGCTCATCTAGCCCAGACTGAAGTCTCAGGCCTGTTGCAGCAAGCCCTGTTCCGTGCATTGACACAGAAGGAAACCAACAAACCTGCACAGAGAACAAGGTGGGTCTACAGGGCACAACACAGGATCAGAGCCAAAACAGGAGGCTGTGTTAGTGTCACATCCTGTACAGTCTCCTTGGCCCCACGGAGAAAGGCTACAGCCCAGAGAGCAGCAGCACTGCTGCATTAGCACGGCATTTCTGCTGCACTGCACCATGGCGGCACTTCCAGAAAGTTTCATGTGTACAATCATTGTGTCTTCGAGAGTTTCCAAGACAGCGCTGAAACAGTAGCCCAGCAGCAATCCAGCCAGCTGACCGTCTGCTCTTGGCAGGCTCTGCTGCCTCCAGTAACACAGCCCAGGCTGCTGGACAGACAGAGGATCTCGCAGGAGCCTGCTCCCAGCCACCTCCCTCTGGGCAGGTGCCTCTCAGTCCTGGGATGGTCGCACCATCACTCAAGAGCAGACCATCCCACCCAAGGCCCACTCGTCACATACAGGACAGCCACTCACACAAGTCTCATGCACGCAGCAGACCTGCTAAGGTCCTCCTCCCACTTCCCGGAGGCAGATTGTCAGTGCCACAGTCAAGCCCTACAGCAAGAAGCCTCCAGCCATCAGCAGCTTCACTTGCTTTGGCTGGTTATGTTCTCAGTTTCACAAGTGAGCTGCTTGTACCTTCAAGCTACATGATTAATGAACACAGAGTAAGGAAAGAGGGTGGGGTTGTCAGAACCACCCCTCCATCTTCCAAAGGAGAGCAAAGATCACCCTCTGGAGTCTTGCTCACTGGCACCAGGATGAGCCCCCCAGCTTAGACTCCTCATTTCCCCACCCAAACAGCATGTAGGTAAATATTACTTGCATCTGTACACATAGTACAGCAGCACACTGCCTCACACTGCTCTGTTACACGAGGGTGTACCGGTGTATCACCCCTCCACGCCTGCTCAGGCACCGGCGTGATGCTGTGCAAGAGATAACAACTGTCATGGGGATAGGGCTCTCTCTACCACCACATTTGTTCTAGTCCATCTAAGTCAAAGGCCCCCCTGCGTCCTGCTGCTCATGTACGTTTGTCTCCTTTTGGAAAGCATCATTGCATGTGTCCAGTCAGCTAAACACAACCAAGGCATCAGAAAGCTCCTGTTCTCTCTGGTCTGGTCACACACAGCTATGTGTATCTCCTTACTGCACACAGAAGGAAAGACTTCTCTAGCTGAAGACCCTTATGATGTGCAGGGCTCTGTATCAGAGAAGACCACCTCTGCACTATCAGCTCAGAGCCAGCTGCCACAGGTACTCCATTACCTGGCCGAGCCTTCAGGACAGTCTCTTCTTCTACCGTCCCTCAGCAGCTTGAGCTACTGGAATAATTCCTTGGCACGAGGCTACAGACAGGCACCAGGTGCTCAGGGACAAACAGAAGCCACCAAAAATCTTGTGCACCAGCACAGACACCTTCCACTTTATTTTTAGCATCTCCTTTCTCTGGAGGATCGGTGGCCACCCATCTATTTCCTCTACCCTTCCTGCCAAAAAAATAGCTGAAAACTGACAGTACTCAGCTATTCTTCCAGGCTAATCCTTTATGCGCTCTTGTAATTATAAAGCATTAAGAGTATGTTACACAAGTTAAATTGATAGTGCCTAGTGACATACATCTGCCTTGCCATGCCAAAGCACATAAATCATGTTCACCTCGCATCCTGTTCACAAGCTCCAGTTCAGATCAGACCTACTGAAAGATCAAGGGGGTTGTTTTTTTTTCTTTAAATGAGGAACAGTTTAGCTGCTCTAAATACAGTCTCTCTAGAAGTCAGGAGTATTTTTAGGCTAGGCAAGTAGTTTTAGCAGTAGTGAAACCTAAACAGAACTCCAGCTGCACTTGAAAGACAGCCAGAGCATTTCTCTTGCAGTCACATACATTATGCATAGCTATATACATTTGTAGGTTTCTAGCTCTAGGTTTGCCAGTACCCTAAGACATTCAGGAGGCGGTTAGCAGAACTGCTGAAACTTTAATCTCTCTCCCCAACAAGCTTACTCCACCTTTACTAGGCTCAGAAGTGTCTGTGAATAAGAGGGAAAGCTGCTCCCTAAAAGGTTGCCTTTTAGAGATCCATTTAATTAAAACAAGTAAGTATTAAGAGCCTTTGCTCCTTCTGGCTCTAGGTAACATGGACAGCCAGTACCAGACCAATACAAGAGTTCCCAGCGTACCTTGGGCAGCCTCACACTGTTTCCCCCAATCTGGAAGCACTGTTGGCCACAGTCCCACGTTTGTGAAGAGTGAAAATAATCTGGGGGGGTCATTTGCTCAGGAAATCCACAACACTGAGATCTAAGCTAACCTGGACCTCTACATTCAATGAAAGCTGGAGATAGTGGCATGGAGCTTGCTGCAGGATAATTGCACAAGTTCATGATTCAAAGAAGATTAGTCAGAGCTTAAGATCTACTTTGCTTTAGTAAGAGGCTGGATTAGGCAGTGTATGAACAGCAGTGACCTGGCTATCTTCTTAAGCCGAGTCTGACACCTTGCTGTAGCACCTCCACTTCACACAAAAGCAGTCCAGGCTGTAGCAGGTAGCTGGCTGCAGAGCAGTTTGCTACTCAGGCTGCATTGGGCCATACATTTATCCTCCCATCTGGTTGTTTTTATAGTCAGTCTGCTCTACAGCCTTAGCCAGGCAACAAAAGCCAGCCAGAGCATGCTACTCTGACCATGCACCTCCTCGGTAGTAAGCTTAAGCTTTCTGGCTTGAAGCTATAGAATAGCTCGGTATTTCATGCTGCAGGAACAACTCGTCCCCAGATTTCACCTGGCATTCTCCAAGCCGAAGCCCCGGAGGATGGCTGCCAAGCACTGGCCAGGGTCTCAGTGGAAAACTAATCCTTGCTTCAAATAGGCAGCACACACAGAGGGCAAGAGACAACACTAGCTACTTCCCCTGCAAATCCCCCGAGATGCAGTTTCCCTAGCTGCAAAGGCAGCACAACTGCAGACAGCCAAGGAGCTTTATCTTTAGCACGGAAAAAAAAAAAATTGAAGTTTTCTTTCCACCCTACCAGGTGTTAAAAGAAGCACAAAGAACTGCTAGGCTAAAAGCAGATGCCAACACTGTGCATCTCCAGGAGCTGCCCATCAGGATAAGAACCATCTACCACTGTGGACAAGTCACCAAGCTGAGGGACAATAAATTAATCACCAGCTGAAGCAGTCTTGCAGACTCAGTTGGATCTTTCTGAACCAGGCTGCCTCCTCACTCCATCCAATTAGCACTAGCAATAGCTATGAAACTATTAACCCCCTCTGCAAATTTTAGAGACCTGCTTGGAGAGTCAGCTCTCAGGAGGTCCGACAAAAGCCAGCTCGAAAGGAACCCCAGACTATTATGGGCACTGCAACCAGGCTGGCTCAAAGGGAACAAGGACAGAGCAGACCAGGTTTCTCTCGTGCAATAGCTGTTGCTCACATGGACCAGCGGTTTGTGGACACATGCTGCAAAGAATGAAACTCTCCCCTCCATCCTAGTCGTACACAGCTACTCGCTAGAACGGCGTTTCAGAGTTCCATCCAGCCAGTTCACTTAGAAAAAACTCCCAAGAACACCATTTGCTGTTATTTCTGCCTTTGGCAAGTTCTGGCTGTGTTTTTCCTGAACTGTTGAAACAGCGAGAAAAAAGCATCGAGCTTTTAACTCCCTTGAATTAATGTCCCTGTTCTACCAGTCCCACTCCCACACAGAGAAGACACCCTACTCCGAAACTGAAGTGGCTGCACGCATCATACAGCCGCAAGCATAGAAGATTAACAGGTCAGCCTCAGACATACAGCAGAGAGCACAGCAGATTAACAGGTCAGCTTCAGACAAATCACTGCCTAGCCTCTGCAGAGCACAGCTCTTCACACCTCCAAGTACAAGGTCGATTATGCCAGCTTTGACTGGCTGAAGAGTCCTGGATGTGCTGGGCACCGCAATTCACCTGCTGACTGATCAGGGAAGTGGACAAAAACACTGCAAATCTTTTAATGTGAAGATTTAGCCAAAACATACAAGTCAAGTAACTGGCAACAATCAAATGCTATGTTACTGGAGTGCTAATATGTGCCACCCAAGCCTTGCTGGCGCTGAATACAAAAGCCAGCAGATAACACACTGCAGAGCTACCACTTTTGCACACAAGCTGAGAAAAACGCCTTCATTTCATCTTGCACTACGTCCTTGTCCAGTTCAATCAAGGGAACTGTAGAGCTGACACTCTTGCAGCACACACTTCAGATAAACAGACCTCAACCAGCCAAGCCATCTCCAGCAGCATCCCAACAGCGACACGACTCCACGCCAGCCACCAACGCAGCCCAGGTCAGACGAGCAAGACTACGCCGACACAGCCACGGATCAGAGGGGCACATCTCCCTCCCCCTTCGAGGAGAGATCCTGACACGCAAACAAATCAAATATTAATATTCTGCAAGGTCAGCTTCCTACCAGTCCTAGTGAGGCACCTTAATACATAATACATCACCTCCACTTCCAGCACCGGTGT